CTCAACCATGTGGCCAGTGAAAGACAAATTTAGGCTGGGGAAATAGTCAGCTGTCCAGAGAGAGAGGTGGGATGGATTTTAGAGCTCTAAAGCTTTCAGTCTCATGCTGAGTGACAGCCACACCTGAGCGTAGCAGCCTTCCTCATTCTGGCCAGGCGAACAGCAAGTTCTGTATTGAGGCACAGGGGTCTCAGTTTTGGCTCAGTAGTAGGTTTCGCCCAGTGAACACTCAGTGTTTGTCTAATTCAGGCTCCGAGTGATTGATCTGAGTTGGCCAGTGAAGGCTGTCTGTTGGCCCAGTGAAGGCTCTCTGTTGGCCCAATGCAACTCCATGAAGAGTCAAATCACTAGCTGCCTTCAGCCCCCAGAGAATGGTCCACTGAAAACATTAACACCATGCCAGTGAATCCACCAGCCGAAAGAGGCGTAGTTGAAGGGTATTAAAGGCTTATCTTCAAACCGTGACAAAGTGATATTAATCTGAGATTTGACTGATTAGAGTAAAAGATATTGCCAAGACAAACAGACAGATAGATAGATAGATAGATAGATAGATAGATAGATAGATTAGGCCAATTACAGCAAATATACTAAGTATAAATATAATAAATATAGTAAATTGCTATTTGATTTTAACATAATTTTATCAATGATATCCTGCACATCTGACAAGTTTCTCTTATGGAGGTAAAACAAGACTGTTTCAAAAATATAGTGACTGTCCAACCATTGACTGACCATAGAGTTTGTATCTTGCTGTTGGTTTTATACAAAGAACATTTTGGACCATTCAGTTCACTGTATTTTCTCTTCTGCGGTTGTTTTGGCGTTTGTGCTGGTCTAGTCTCTCTCACATGAGAACGTCTTGACACACGGTAGCAGCAGTGTTGGGAGAAAATGTACATTATTGGCTCTTTTCAATTTTAAACTTCCACTGAAAGCTGATTTTCCCTCAAGGCATTATTTCAGCACTGGTTGAAAAAGTCTCCAAACGCATTGAAGTTTTATAATAATTTGCCTAGAACAGCAGAAAACCCACAGCTCCTGAAAAGCTGCGGTTTTGGAGATAGGGCTCCCAACAGAAACAATACAGCATGTCCTGAAGAAACCCTTGACTGAACACACAAGCAACAGACTGAAATTTAAAAAGTCTAATAAGAGGAGGGTAGCGTCTAGCCTCCGTTACTGTTCTGACAGATCAAACATGCTTAACAGCTCTGCTGTCACTGCCATAGAAATATTCCTCACAGTAATCCCACATAAAAATGGAATTTATTGGAATGAGTTATCAGTATACTGTGAAATGAACTATACAGTAATTTTCAGTATGTTGCATATATACATGGAATGTGCTATAGACCCATACATTTTAGTATGAGCGCTATATATACTACACCTTCAAAGTTCAGTCTTAGTTGGTTGCATTTTGTTCATCTCACAATCCAAATAATCACAATTGCAAATTAGACTTAGTCTATAAATATCAGTCTATAAAACCTCATTTTGACTTATTTTGACTCATTTAGACACAAAGGTTACAAAACCTTATTCTATATCCAGTTTTGGTGCTCCAGTGCAAACTTTTTTTTTTTTAATCGGCACCAGCTGGTGCCACGCCCAACAGGTGCCACTATGCAGAGATGCCTAAATAAGATTCATTGCAGATCAAACCATATGTGGCTCCTTCAACTACATGAAAAGAATATGCATCATGGAGAACTTCCAGATATTAATAGCTGCATTTCATTAAGCTGATGCAGTGAAATTCCATTTGTGGTATCATGCCTTACTCTTTACTTTGGGTGCAGCTGAGATGAAAGTCTATACTGTTTAAATATGGGTTAAAATCCCAGGCTTATTACATCCTAAGGCACATTATTCAGTTACTACAGGGACAGTGCAAATTAGCTGAGCTATTCTTAGGCTATAGAAGTGTGTAATAAAACTTTGGGCCTCCCAGTGAGCCCTGGGTTAAATGGTTAAATGGTTCTTGGCTTGGGCATACCATTCTAGGAAAGCCTTTAGAACCTTTATACTATGTGGAGGTTCTTTAAGCTTTCAAAGGTTCTTCACACTCTTGCACCTTATTTATAAAACCCTTTAGGGAGCTATTCACTGAAATTTTCTTTGGGCAAGAAAAAGTGGTCTTCACTCCAAAGAATCCTAATTAGCAGCTTTGTAGGTACAAAAAATGTAGGTCATTATTGGTCAGAAACTGGCTCTCCAACTGGCTTGGTCATTCTCCAGTGCATTTTGATAGACTTTAAACAAAATTAGAAGTGGTTAACAACTAGACCTTCACCCACTTGCAGACACAGACCTACTTTAACATTTATATTGGTTTGACTCTGAATAGCTGGGAGAACTTTTGCATTCCATGGGCTGAAAACTGTTGTACCAACACAAGGTCTCCTAGGGGTGGTTGTTTAGTCATCTGGCTTAGCATGAAAGGACGGTCTAACAAACCCCTCTCGTCTATAGAAATCAAATTCTCAGATGCAGCATGGGGCAGCGTAGCTTCAATAGCTTGGGTTTAGTACTTGTCAGCAGACTCTAGTAGGCTCTTTATGGATTGGCATTTGAAACAAGTGGATGCTGCTAACTTTCACAGCTGTGGTGTTGGAAACTCACTGCCCTGGACTGGATCATGTTCCCCAGCTCTAACTCACCTGAACCAGTGCATGAGCTAATTATCAAGGAATTAGAGCAGGGAAAAATCTAAGGATGGGAGTGGATTCCCAAAAACATCACATCATCGCTGTCATATCTAAACCTCGTAACTCTATTTTTTGGTTTCATTTTTTACACAATCTGAAAATGCCAGCTGCTCTTTACATGAACATGTGATGATGAATGCACCCACTCTCATAAAATAAACTGGGGGACTGGGAGAGACATGGGAGAGACATGGCCAGCCCAATTTTTTGGAATTATGCAATGTAACTTTGTGGAGTATATAGTCTGCATTTTTGAGAGTGACTCTTCTATAGTCTCTAACATCTTGGCTGTTTACTCGGAGGAGTTTGAGCGAATCTGGGAGTTTGAGTCTTGCACATCATAAAGACTTGTCTGATTGGCTGATGCTCCTGTGTTGTGACCCACAGTGACAAAGTTAAACTTAATGTTTAATTTATAAAACGTCCCTTTTTCTTTTATTGTTATTGTCACACTGATAATTATCAAATTATGTTTCCTATATGCAGGTCAGGCAAAGAATTTATTACAGTGATAAACAATGGAACAAAACCTTCTACTGTAAGGGCAAGAAAAGAAGATATTCTGAAAATGCATTAGAAGATATGTGATATTATTCCTGTTAATAATATTGTTTGCTTTTATGTTTTAATATTGCTTTATAAGCCATTAAATATGTACCTGTATGGTCACTTTAACTGTATGTGTACTTTGTTCACCTAGTTTTATGTTTGAATAACTTAGCATCCCAGCCACATACACACACACACACACACACACACACGCACGTCAGACCAACTGTGCACCCCAAATAGAAATGATCCAAAATTTGTAGAACTAAAATATCATTTACATATTGCTGCTGTCAGAAGAAAACCTTGTGTCTCTATTTTTGTTGTTTTTCAGTTTTTGACATATTTTTAAAGTGCCTGTTGTTCTTTACATTGTTTGTAAATTTCATGAAGAATAGACCAAAAGAAATGACCCAAGATGATTTGGAAAAAAAGTCTGGTTCCATTGATTTACATTAAAAGTAAAGCAGGTTTTTTTCTCCTCCTTTAAAGTTACCATTTTGGAGACACAAGGTTTTGTTCTGACAACAGCGATATATTTAAGTGAAGGGGAAATTTTACTACCTTTCAAATACAGTCCATTTCACTGCATAATTCATTTACTGATCTGTAAACAAAGTCAATTAGAGTGATTTGATGTAAAATTGTTCGGTGTAGAGAAATTTACAGACAGATTTCTTTACAGTGGTGGTGATAGGAACCCGGGGTTGCGATGTCTACAACCTGTATATATTAGAAATAGAGTTATCTAATAAGGAAATAATGGAAAATGAATAGTTTATTATCATATGATTAATGTTTAATAAGTAACCCTTAATGTAAGGTGTTACCCATTTATATATGTTTACGTCACTTATGAAAGGTTTATGTACACCCTTAAAAAGATGGTTCTTCAAGGGTTCTTTAGTAACAAAAATGGTTTTATAAAGAACCATGAACATTTACAGAACTCTTTGCATGATTTGCATGGTTCTTTGTATCATGAAATGCTTCTTCAGGTTGATGGACAACGTTCTGTAGATGGTTCTATATAGAAATGGGTTCTATATAGCAATGAGAAAGGGTTCCTTTATTGTTACAAGCTTAACATCATAACAATAGAAGAGCCTTTTTTGGGTGCTATAGAGAACGCTTTTCAAAAAGGTTCTATATAGAACCATCTACAGCACATTCTAAAGAACACTTTCATGATACATAGAACTCTTTCGTCTTGCAAAGGATTCTGTGAGTGTTCATGGTTCTTAATAGAACAGTTTTCCTTACTAAAGAACCCTTAAAAACCATCTTTTTTGGGAGAGTAAGTGTCAGGAAGCCTTATAAATGCTGCCGTTCGCTAATGTGTTAGTGCCAACGTTCTAACGTTATATAACCCATGGATCTCAGGCCCAGGGGCCCCACAAAGGTTAGTGTTTTTCCCACTCAAACCCACCTGACTCAACTTATCTGCTCATTATCAAACCTTTCATCAGTCAAATTAGCTGTGGGAAAACACTCGATGCTGAGACTAAGAACCCTCTTCAAATACAATCACATGATTCGGTGCCCATGGTGGCCAACAGATGTTCTCATAACCATGTGGTGGCTAATTAAGAATTGCACACAGTAGTACAGATGAAGAACATGCACAATATTGCTTTGTTCCAGACTGTGTGTTTTCCATTGTGTATTCATGGCTGCACAACTTGAACAATGCTCATAATTAACACAAAATTCTTCTCAAATTTGTTCTTACAGATGTCAACTGCTCCTACTTCAGGCACTTCAATCCTGGAGAAACCTCTGAGATCTTTGAGGTTAAAACACAAAGAGGTAAGGCGACATGTACAGTAACAACAGCTGTCCATTCGAAAGGCCATTCACAAGTAACCTCAAACTCTACAGACCCAGACAGACATTATTGGATTCAGACATCATTTCTCAAACATTTGGCCTGCATTCAGTCATGCTTTAGTTCAGGGGTGCCCTTCAGGACTGGAGTTGTGCACCTCTGCTTTAGTTGTTCTCCTTGATATATTCTTCTTCAAATGTACATATATTGCCTTGAATAGTTTTTAATCTGGTGGAGTCATTCTGTTGTTGGTAGAACCTCAAAGAGGTCCACACAGCCAACATGAAAACAACACAGACTAACAACACAAAACCAAATATTTTAAGGATATTGTTAGAAGGCACTGCTTTATGAATACATTTATTAAAGTGAAACTAAATATAATTTTAGATTGATATAATTTTCAATTTTAGATACTTAGATGCTTGATAGGATGATTTTTAATGAGTTTTTTAGGTTTACTTAGAAACGCTATAGCAGATGAACTTAATTATATTGCACCGACAAAATTGCTTTATTTTGAAAGAAATTATTTTAATTGTGTAGAAATGCTTTATATGATTCAATTCAATTCAGGTAAAGGAGGCATTTTTAGGGTGTTTTTCTAATACAATGAATTCTATTCCTGCTGCTATTCTGTGTTTTTGTATTTAAATATCATCTATGTTTTATGATTTATTATCATTTATTCTCTCAATTTGCTGTCTCTTCTTTACCTATTTGTCAATCAAATGCGACAACCCACCCCCTGAATCTAGCTCTACACGGTGAAACTTTCACGCAACTTTAGTTGCTTGAAACCTACATGAAACTAAATCACATTTCAGTTGCACCATGTAAAGCGTCCTGCAACTCATTTGAAACTCAGCTGCAGCAGTTGCAGGCATCTTAACTTTGTGAAACGATTTTAAATAATTGATTTCATTGGATCAGTGAATAAGAAAACAAAACAGAAGATAGTTTGTTGGCCATTTCAAAACAGGCCTACCACAGCGATAACAGAAAATGCTGCACAAAATGCTGTAAATAGATAAATTACAACTCAACGTTGACTTTATAGTGACAATGATATGGCGTATTAAAAACACCAACTGATAATTTAGCTAGCTAGTAAAGTGACTGAATGTGTTGCGTGCAACATTGACTGTTTTAGACGTTGCATAGAATTTAAGTTGCAAGTGACTCACATCATGCAGTTAGCCTTTACTGACTGCATGTTTTTGTCTGTCAAGTGACTCAGTGTAAATGTCCAAATTCCCAGCCTACGAAAGGATTTTCAGTGCAAAATACATCAATTAGTGTAATGTAGCTTTTAAGTTGTCTCTTGAACAGTGTCCCTAGGAGAACCCGCCAGAAGACGTGATGAACACTTGTCATGCTTGAATGAATGGTGTCAGAGAGATTCAGGGTGATGGAGGTTGACCCCTGTAGTTAGGACACTGCTCCGTCTACTTGATTATCCAATTTGCCCCTATTGTCCCAGCACTCTCCTTACAGCAGACTGGGCACATTACAGACCATCTGAGCATGTCTTGCGGTGCTGTATCATAGAGCAGTGGCACTTTGGCGCAGCCTGAGAGGAGGCCTGTCAGACATGCTGAAAAACATAATGCACTGAATTGACGACTCAAATCTACATTGTTTTCACATGAATAAAATAAATCAACACAATTTTGTCTTTTGGTTTACTTACTGCTGGAAATAGTGTTGATGTAATCCATTTACTTTGTATGTTTAAATGATACACATTTAAATCAATTAAATTCAATGTGTCACTTTTTTAGTGTTAGAGTCCATAGCACAGCCACGAGCTATCCAGACCATTCAACTCCCAATATAACAGTGCAATATGGTTTTATAAACCGGTACGTCTTTACAAATATTAACCCATTAGAAGTTTAGAGATATTGCTGCAATTTCACTCTACTATTTAATTGTGATTACATAATCAGTTGCATTTTTGTTGGTTTCAAAGTCAAGGAATGACAAAACAGAAAAAATATTTCTAAAAATCTCTTTGTGGCAGCAGTATGTAAAAGTATTAGCTTAGTATTTTGAAATAATGACTTGAAAAATTGACTTCCTGCTTTAATTATATCTCAAAATACTGACATAAAAAAATTATCATTATTATCATATAATAGGTAATTCTATTATAAAATACTGTAGTAAATAATTTTTTCAACCTAATAAGTTGGCATTTTGAGAAAATATTGTGATTTTTACAGGGCACTAAGTTATTATTGCAAGATAGTAAGTCAAAATTTTGAGAAATATCACTACTTATACTACAGTAATATCACAGTTGCCACGTTTACATGCAGCCTGATAATCCGTTAACAGTCCGACTAATAGCTCAATTGGAATAGAACACGTCCATGTAAACACCTCAATCGGAATAGTTTAGTCCGATTGAGGCCATTCGGAATACAATTTCTATCCGATTGAACGAGGTGGGTAAGCCTCTAAATAATTCGTTAAATAGAAGAATAATAGCCATGTAAACGCCTGAATCCGATTACATCCCAATCGGAATGTGTAAGTATGTTCTGCACATATAAATTGTTTTTTTTTTTCCCTTTTCCTTTACTATTTTGGAAATATTAGGTTTTGACAGCTGTGATTTACAATGTCAAATTGTTGAGGAATGTAGTGTGGATTGAAAGTTTAGAATCTGCAGTATTGACAGAATTTGACCTATCCATGTCTGCACATGCATTCTTTTGTAGTTACTTTTAGAAAAGCTGGCAAAAATCCCATTCAAACTATTGAGAAACTGTATAGATTGGGTGTATTTGTGTTTGTCATGACTTTCCAAGTTGTCTACTTCCAATTAACTACAACAATATAGTTCTTACTTGGTAGCATTTTGCATAGTGTAGCATTTAGATTTTAAACATTATGTAGGAACCTAAAACGATGTTGTAGCAGTTCAATATCTGTAAAATGCATATATGACAAAAACTGAGTTGTACACTACAATTTCTCATCAGATTGAATGCCAACATTCTGTAACTTGTCCAGCTTAGCACACTGAAGGAAAGCACTGATGAGGAGAGAATGGATAGGCCAATTTCTTCTCTTAGTTTAGTCACGAGCAACAAACAATTTGCATAAAATTAGAATGTACTTTCTGTGATAATAGCTGCAACATCTAAGGGTTAAGTAACTGAAAGTGATCATTGCAAGTTATTTCCATGTAGCAAAACCTGATTTGAATCAACATTAGCACAAGAAGAGTCTCAGTGGCCATTGGCTTGAACTGTCCTGCTGTAGTTTCCTGATCTTAGCTGTGAACTTCTCTGTGTTCTTTCAATCATGCAAAAACAGCTGACTGATGTCTTAGATTGGCCTGCAGGGCAGAAGCTGAGAATCTGCTCTAGTGGCTTGCAGGCAGACACGCTGTGAAGCATGCTACTTGTCTGTCATCCTCGATCTGACCTCCAAATTCACGAATCCACGGCATCTCCCTAGCCTCCACAGAGCACACGTGCCACTTGGGTCTTCTTCTCTGCCCTCAGGCATTGCTTTCCTTACCATTCCACTACAACTCCACTAACATTCTAATGTGATTACTGTATAGGTCGTTTATGTTGTACATGAATTATTTATTATGCAGGACTTTCAGTTACTCTGGAGTCTAACAAGCAAATTCATGGTGCACTGATAGGTTACATAACCAGGCAAAATCCTGAACATTGGTTCTACAACCAATATTAAGATGTGCTCTTAAAAGTTCTTCAATTCTATAGTAAGCTCACTGAGTTCACTGAGTGTATTCATGTTTTACTTTCATTCTGATTAAATTAACTGTCGGGGCACAACAAAAAGTTATTTCCATTAGAACTGGACACACAAAATAAAGGCGTTTCTGTTTCAGAATGTTCAGAATTGCTAGTAAAGAACTGCACCCATTAAAGTGTACAAAACAAACTGTGCATCAACTGTTATACCATGCTGCTTGTTATTAAACAACCCACTGTTTCTGCAATTGACCTGTCCATGTTCTGTCCAGATATATGATTTCAGCTATGGCAAACCATACCTATTAGAGTTAGGCCTTCAGTTTGGCCCATGAATGTCAAAACTCTGCCAAAAATGAGGACAAAAACAACACAAAATGTTAATTTCTGTTGGCACCCCTAAGGGATTTTAGTAGTATGTTAGCACTAACAGCATTTCACCCTGACATTTTTAGATTAAACATGGTCAGTTGAGGCTTGTCAAAGGTATTCCATTTTCTATATCAATTGATTTATTTATTGTAGCTTCTGACAGGTGTCTATTGTTTTCAAGTTTTACAGAACAGTGGATAAAATCACATTCAACCTAATACGAAGCTGTAAAGCACACAAGCCTGGTGCCACAGGACGGCACAAGGGGCAAGGTCCATTCAGTTGGAACACTGTTCCCCCTCAGCTTTGCATTCCTGTTTTGTCCTGCAAGATAACTTTTAAACTGCACTCACAGGTATTATGCGAAATTCCTGAGGAAGATCAAACTACATGCTACTGTTCTTTCTTAGGTCCATTTTATTGGACCTGTTTATACGATGGTAAAACCTTTTATCCAAATTCAATTTCTAACAAAAACACTCCAGCGAAAATACTGTCCCATCGACATACAGTAAGAGGGAAGGCCATGATTCCACCACAAATGCTCTTTATTAACCCCTTACATGGCCAGGGCCCACTAGCAGGCCCAAAGTTTTATTACACATTTCTATAAACTAAGAATAGCTCCATTAGTTTGCATTGAAGTTCCTGTAGTTACTGAATAATAAGCCGTAGCATGTAATAATCCTGGGATTTTAAGGGGTCAAACTCTAGAGCAGAAAGGCACATACAATTGAACTTCTGGGTGCCCCTGATCCTCTTAGCGTGGCCGTCAGCATGGTCGCGCCTCACAAGTATCTAGAGGCCAGCACCAGCCAGTAGCAGGTTGCTACAATATAGATCTATATATTTCTATTGCACAAGCTACAAAATAAGCAGTGGATGAAAAAGTGAAATATACCACATAGAAAAGCAAAGTGTAGTTCAACTTGGTCTGCCTGTCATTTCCATAGCAAAAATGCTGTTTGGCATGTGATTTTTTTCTTTCGTGAGAGTTTATCGCACACCACATCACGCTGTCTCCTCTCAGTGCCACATTATATGAAGTAGGCTGTTATGTTCACTGCTTTTTACAACTGAGAACATGCATGTTTTTAACAATGTGGGCTAGAATCCACAAAAGGCAATGTTAGTGCTATATGAAATTAATTTTTGCTAATGCTAAGCAGCCTGTTACTCTAATATCACCCATACCGCCAGCCTTTCGCTGGAGAAAGACAGTTGTGGTCCCTTGTCTAACTGACCCTACTGTTGGGTCAGAGCACACAACTCAGGTTTTGTTAAAGGACCAGCAGAACATTTGATCAATGATGATACATAACGTTGAGTTTCCAGATTAAAATGCTAATCTACAGAGCTCGAACATGTTGTTGTACCTAATCGAAACTAAGCAAGTTGGCAATGCCTAAGACTTAAAATTTACTACCATGCGAACATTTGCTTAATTACAACCAAAAATGAACAAAACTAACAAAATAAATAAAAATTTAAATCAACAACACACTCACTTAAGTATTGTGGAGATTGAAAGAGGTTGAAGATTTGTGGCCGGAGCTTGTATATGCCAATTTCTGGCTATTACTACTATTTGTAACCTAACTTTGGGTTAAATAGATTATTATGCAGCTGTAATATATAACTGATTAATGCTAACTTCACTTCTTCTCTTCACAGAGTACAACATATCAGCTGCAGCTATTGCTGTTTTCAGTCTGGCCTTCATGATTCTGGGAACTATCTGTATGCTGGGCTCCGCAATGAAAGGAAAAGATTATCTCCACAAACCAGCCGGCATGTTTTACGCATTTGCCGGTAAGTCAAGGACAGTCATCATGTCGGTGTATCTCTTCATATATAATGCATCAGTGAAAAGTGTCCTCTGCAAAAGGTGTCACAAAATCCCTCTCATCATCACCTTCACCTGTGTCTTGTTTTTTTTAATGCCTATACACAGATCAGCCATAACATTAAAACCACCTCCTTGTTTCTACACTTACTGTCCATTTTATCAGCTCCACTTACCATATAGGAGCACTTTGTAGTTCTACAATTACAGACTGTAGTCCATCTGTTTCTCTGCATACTTTCTTACCCTGTTCTTCAATGGTTAGAACCCCGTACAGGACCACCACACAGCAGGTATTATTTGGTTGGTGGATCATTCTCAGCACTGCATTGACACTGACATGTTAGTGTGTGTCGCACTGGTGCGAGTGGATGAGACACAGCAGTGCTGCTGGAGTTTTTAAACACCTAACATGTGTCATTGCAGTGCTGAGTTGGCTCCACCCCTCAAATAATACATGCTGTGTGATGGCCCTTTTGGGGGTCCTGACCATTGAAGAACAAGGTAAAAGGGGGCTCACAAAGTGTGCAGAGAAACAGATGGACTACAGTCTGCAATTGTACAACTACAAAGTACACCTATATTGTAAGTGGAGCTAATAAAAAGGACAATGAGTGTAGAAACAAGGAGGTGGTCGGTGGCTTTATATCTCTTTATATCTTATGTCTTATATTTCTTTACATGCATATGTTTTTAGCCATTAAAAATCTTGCCTAGTTTTTTGTTTCCTTGCATTTATGGATCAGCCTGTACTATACCCGTTTGCCTGTGTTTAGACACCTGCTATGGATTATTGCTGTTTTTATCAGGTGGTAGCTTTCTCTGCGGAGGAGCTTATTCACTTACCTTAGTGTGGTTCATACTGAAAATAAACAAAAACATAGCAGTTTGTGGAACAGTATTAGTGTATTAGCTAGCGAGCAGCTGAATGCTGATTTTAGCTTTTTTTTTGGCCTATGTTGTTGGACACAAACGCAGCAAGTGGGTTAGCTGTACATATTTAAAAATCAGCCATTACCATTCACCATTTGCACAGTGATATTTGATTTCTTACAGCTGATGGACTGTTTGCCATGAAAATAGTGCTGTGGTCACAACTCAGTCAATTCATATTGCACTCAATATATTTCACCATCCAACTTCAAAGAGTGTTCATGTAGTGCCTCAATTTTCCTGAGAAAACCCCACTTGTACACATGATCAGACTGTAGGAGCTGCTGTAATAAATAGACTATAAGCCTCTATCCGGCTTATCTGCCTTGCAAATTACAATTTCATAGTGATATGAAACATTGAGCTGATCCACTAAGCTTATGTTTGGAATCAGAGGAGGTCAGGTCAGGCCTTGAGTGGTTCCAAAGACAAAAGCAGTGTTTCTACCATGGGGACGTGAGTTTGAGTCCTAGCCACACTCTTTGATGGTGGCTGGGGTACCCTGGGACTGTGAGCTATGCTCTGACTGGCTCAGGGGGATGGCAGGATCCCTGTCTCCCCCATTGCTGAGTGACGTCCCAGACAATCGGGGTGTCTGCTTGGTCCCATAGACAGAACTGAGGAGTTTCTCCTCCAAGCGCATCCACAAGTGACTTGATTATGCTTTTTCTCTTTTGTACGGCTTCATAAAATATTTTGTTCCAACTCTCTAAAACGCTTCTTGCTTTTACTCAGACATACAGTACTGTGCAAAAGTTCTAGGCTAGCATAGAAAGTTGTTTAAAGCTATTTATCTAAGCAGTTAAGTGTTTTTACTAGTAAAACACTACAACAGTGCAAGGCAAATGCAAATATAACATAACAGAATATGAATTGGAGGCAACATTTATTTTTATCAGTAACATTATTTTGTGAGCAGTCTCTGGCCATCCCATGGATCTGTTGCAGGGAATTTCACCCGCAGCACTCCTGATTTAACTTAAGAGCCAAATCATGGAATGCCAACTTTTCCTTGCTTTTTGAAATAAAAGAAATGAACGTAGTAGAGTTTCAAAGGTTGAAAATATACCATTCACTTCCCACTCCATACAGTTCATATATGGAATCTAAGTTTTAAATTCATTTCTTCATTTAAAAAAAAAAAAAAAAATTACATACAACCTCCTGTTTGTCTTCAGCAGTTTAGCTCCAATGTTCACACTGAAGACATAGGGATTGTTTCAGCCTAGACTACTGTCTGAGTGCAGAACAATACACAGCAGCCAATCAGAACAGAACTCATTTACGTACATAAGTCTTAGAGGCACAGTATTAAAAACAGCACCACAGTTTGGATGAAAAGAGAGTTTGGAAAATAGTCATGTGAAAATAAATGATGACTGTTTTTAATACCTAAACCCATACAAATATCATAAGTGGACCTCAGGGTAAAAATAAAATAGAAAAGAGAAATGTAGGATATGGGTTCTTTAACAAGAGATCGATAAGCAGAATCAGGTATACGTGAATCTGAATACAGATTAATAACTATAAATACAGTTTTGCACAGTACTGAAGAAGCTATTTTCAGAGCTGTGTCTGGGATATAGATTTTGAATGTGGAAAAGAAAGACACTCCCAGATTCTCCTTCACCATAATGAAAACAGTTCTCAAAAGGGGTGATGGAAATTTCTACCAGCAGCCACTTGAAAGCACAATTTGACTTGAAGGACTAGTCTAAAAAGCTGTAGATTTCAGGCAGTGCCATGACTTCAGATGCATTTCAATTTTTTTGTCACAATCTTATGGTGAAGAGCTGCCCCCAGAGCTAATACACATAACAGATATGTTAAGGCCTACTTTGAGCTAATGTTATAGAGCTTTAACTAATGTAGGATAACAATACCTAATGTTTAAAACAAAAAAGATAACAATCAAACAGCAATTGTGGCATTTGCCAAAGTTTAGACACTCTTCCAGTTGTAAAGTTGCAGAAATTAATTAACTTCTTAGACCTAAATTGACTTGTTAGGACTAGTTACTTCAAGAGTTGTGATTAGAAACTGTCAGATGACGACAAATCCAGAACGTAATATATTTTCAAACCTTGTGCTAATGCTCAACAACCATGGCCTCCTCTAAGCAGCTGAAAGTTTAGCTCATTAAAGCCTACAAAGCAGGATAAAACTATAAAAAGATACCAAAGTGCTCCCAGCTCACATTTTCTACTGTCCAAAATGCCATTAAGAGAATGGCAGTTAAGGGGAACTGTGGAGGTCAGGGCAAGATCTTGAAGACCAAGAAAATTCAGATAAAACTGATTATATGCTGGTGAAAAATGCAGAGCAAAACCCCCACATGACAGCAAACAGCTTGCAGGAAGAAAACCTAAACTCATTCTTATAAAATCTCATTATATGCAGGAGATGATGATACAGCTGACTTGACTTGAGGATGCATTGTTGAATCATTGTTTAACTAACCTCTTTAAAATTCTAGGTTTATTATTAGATAAAAATCATCAACTACAGTGCAAAACAATTCCTAAGTTATAGGAGTATGTAATACAGTTTCGATCAGATGAGGATGGGCTACCCTTTTGAGTCTTGGTTGCTCTCAAGGTTTGTTCCTCTTGCTCTTAAGCAGTTTTTCCTTGCCACTGTGGCAATTGGCTTGCTCATGGCAGCTTGGACCCAGATTTTTCTGTAAAGCTGCTTTTTTTTGACAATGTCTGTTGTAAAAAAGCACTATATATAGATAAAAATAAACTTTGACTAATAAAAGTTTGGGCAGGCTGTTGGGTCCTGGCCATTTAACCCCTTACATGGCCAGTTGTATTACACACTTCTATAACCAACCGGTTTGCATTGAAGTCTCTATAGTTACTGAATAATAAGCCTTAGTATCTAACAAGCCTGGGATTTTAAGAAGTTAAAGGGTTTTAATTGAAAAGGACAGATTGAAAAAATTAAACTTCCCCTCACTGTTCTGTTCGTTTAACCAATGCCTAGTTAATGTTGTGTTGGGCGTTCAAGTAGACCTTCACTAGTATTTGGTTACCTCGTATAGTTCAAAAACTTTAATTAAAACCCAAAACCTCCATACTGATATGTAATACAAAATCAAAGCACATACTTTTTATATGGCTTTTGTGATTTATACCATAAAGACATTGGCTTGGTCCTAAAGCTTGGCCTCTGCATTACTTGTTACACCACTTGTGCAGACTGTTTGGACAGCAATCTGTTCCGACTCTGTGTTTACAAGTCGATTCTATTTATAAACTTGCCATGCCCCCCACATCTTCCATCAAAGCACTCATATTACGAATGTATGATATAAAGTTTAGGAAAGTGGAGGGAAGTCAACGAGACACAGAAATGGGGCGATTCTACTTTAATTCTCTATTGACCTCCTCCTTCTCTTTCTCTCTCTCTTCTATTTCCTCAGGCTTGTGCGCCTTCATCTCAGTGGAGGTGATGAGGCAGTCAGTGAATAGGATGATTGAGAGCGAAGAAACTATCTGGATGGAATATTATTACTCTTGGTCCTTCGCCTGCGCCTGCACGGGCTTCGTCCTGCTCCTCCTCAGCGGCATTGGCCTCCTCCTCCTCTCCATGCCCCAGATGCCCCGCAACCCCTGGGAGACTTGTATGGACGCCGAGCCTGAACAGATCGAGTAAAATCCATAGCTACGAAGCATCCTGTTACGTTGCTATCATCCAGTCATTGATTACAGCAGAGGCTTGGAAGCCAGAGGTGTAAAGAAATACAAGAGATGGTAACACTTTGCTTGAACCCTGCTGCACAACATTGACATAACCATGCCATAAACATGTCACAGATTTACAATGACAGCCTTTGTATAGTAATATAACAGGTTACCATTACTGGTCATTGTCCTGATAGATCTCATAATGTTTGACGTCCTTGCAGTTTATGTACATGCTTGTTATGTGTCATATGAAAGTGTCATGATAAATATGTCATGATGAATGTCATTTTTTATAACAGGATATGTTTAAATATTATCATTTGCACTTGTTATAAAAGAAGACATTACAACAACTTATATATAATTTCTCATATTGGGTTATGACTTCTATCATGACATGTTTATGACACGTTTTTGCCAAGTCTTTGACAGCATTATAACTTATCATTAAGAGCACACACGAACTTTCAAGTTATTCCATACTGTATGACAGTTTTCATGAAGGATGTGTCATCAAACATTATGACATCCGTCACGACATTTACCAGTTATGGTAATATGCCACTCTAATATTACTTGACGTAATCTGTCATAACAGCATATGACAGCATATGACCAGGGGTCATTACAAAAGTAGGCAGCTGCCTAGGGCCCCCAGGAAAATGCAAATTAAGCCCTAATTGTGTTGGACTGTTTTTTACTATTGAAGGAGTAGTAATGTAATTTGTGCATGATTTGACTGGCTGATTAGTACAGTATAAAGGATCTGTGCAGTTTCACCAAATTACCCCAAATAGCCTGGATAAAAACACCATTGCATGCATGTTTACATCAGCATTATGCAACATGAACCACACTTCAGAACAATAACAATGGCATGGCTTATAGACAATGACATACAGACTAGCATTAGGCTAGTAAAGTGGATTAATTCAACTTACGGAATGCTGACCAACTAGACAGAAAATGCATTGCCTTGCAAGAGGTACTTTCTAAATATTTCATTTTCCTTCTACTAGTATTTCATTCATCACCAAAATTGTTGTGGATTTCAGAACTTGAAGATTACTTATTGGGTCAAATTAAGCTTGGGTGATAGGGCGATGTAATCGGATCTCATCAATGACGGACTAGTAACCTGACGGCGATGTGTAAAAGGCAATAACCATTTAAAGTTTTAAATAAAATATTGGTAAAAACTTAGAGAGAGAGTCAAAGAGCACCAGAGAGAGATAAAGAGAGATAGAGTGAGTTTCTTAAGAACCTGTGAGTTATTTCTCTCTGCTCTGCACTATAATGCTAGCTTTCCTGCACAGATTCCCCTCAATTTACTTTATGTGAATGGAATCTAAAATGACTTCTGACATGCTTTGGAACTTTAGCTGCCTCGAAGTGACTCGCTGCAGTAAAAAAAAACAAGCTAAAATGACCAGATGTTAGCCCAGAGTAGCTAAACTAACTCTAACCTGGAGAAAAAGTTCCTCAATTGATCCTCAATTATGGCCAGTGTGTAGTATTTTCTGTACAGATTCAGTGTCCTGGTGATTACCTGAATTTTGAAAACACTGCTGTAACAACAGAAATGCCTTGTTTTTAATAAGGAAAGCATGTATACAGTGGAAGCATGTTGAAGTTTCTCCAGGGAGCGCTATTAGCATGCAAGTTGCAGCAGAAGAATTGAGTTATTGATTTGAACAGGACTACTCCTGAGGGAACTCTGAGTTTGGTGAGCTATAGAAGGTAATTCACTCCAGAATTATTACCTAGCACACTTGTATAAGCTACAGACAAGGCAGATTCATACTGAATTAAAATCATGGATCTTGTTGGTAATCATTTAACCCTTTAAATGGCCACCAATGGGCCCAAAGTTTTATTACAAACATATATATCTACGAATAGCTCAGCCAGTTTTTTTTATTGTTACTGAATAATTAGCCTTAGTATGTAATAAGCCTGGGATTTTAAGGGGTTAAATTATAGAACCTCCACACATAAAATTAATCCAACTCAAATAGGGCTTTAGATTTGTACATGTACATGTTGTTAAATAGCCTACTCTAAAATATATATACATTTTAAAATGATTTATTTCAATGCAGCCCCACCCTGACCCATCATGGTTATAATGGACTGTTCCATGTTACTACATGATGACGCAACTGTGTGAGGACTAGTATGAACAAAGCAATTAAGTGATAATCTACATTATGAAGAGGAGGTTTTTTGGTGTGATTTTCAGGGTGTTGAGAAAATCAAAGCTCATCAGAGAATCACAGTGAAATGCAAAAAGAAGGGAATAAAAACAAGAAGTTGCTACACTCCTAAAGCTAACTTTGCCTTTTGTCTCCATTGAATCTGCATGTGACATCTGCCATGACATGTTCATGGCATGCTTATGTCAGTGTTATATAGCAGAATTCAAGCAAAGTGTTTTTTTTAGTTTTAACAGTGTTCTGCTACTGATACATAAATTGGGGCTATAAACATGAGTTTTGGTTGCACAGCTGAGTAAAATACTGTCACTGACATGGCAACCTTGACTTGTGCACACCTGCTTAACGTGAAACTTGCTGAATGGGGAATCTTTTTTTTTAAATTGCCTTGGTTGGGTTTCTTAAGCAAATGTCATCCTGATATCAAACAGAGCAATCAAGGCGAGTGAACGAAGTTCTTCTTTAAAGGTGTGTTTTGTATTATATTGCTGTACATATGCAGACCATTTGTACCTGGAGTGGTTCTCATGCTGATGTATAATTAAGACAGATTCATCGCTGTCATATCAAAAGCCTTGTAACTCTATGTTTTTTCAGTTTTTATGTCACATCATTGTCTGAAAACCTTGTGATGCATGGACTAATAAAAACAACAAAATAACCAAACTCTAAGTAAATTAATGTCATTTAAAAAGTTCTCTTGTAAAGTTGCTACTTTGGAGTTTCAAGATTCTGTTACAGCAGTGGTGATATTAATGGGTAACACTTCACTGAAGGATGTCATCTACTTAGGCCTTTCATGATATTAACCTATATAAGCTTTCATAAAGGCTTATTCCAAAAAGCATCAGTGCTCATAACACCCTTATGACAACAAACACTTGTTGTAAATAAACTTTATAAATGTTTATGTAGGTTCATGGAAGTTAACGATTCATGTAGCCTCAAAAATCCTGCCATTTGTTAAAGTGTAACCATAAAATGTGTATTTCAGAAGTGGTCATCTCCTTAGGAGGACAGCTGTGATGTAAATGACTAAGGTAGCTTTGATGCTAAACGACTAACATTCACAGTTAGTGAACTGATTTAACATACTGTATGTGATTTTGTATTCATTTCTGTCTGTTTTACGTAGAGCAGTTGGGTGGTTTGATATGTCCGTAGCCTATAAGCACACTATGCTAGCTTTGTTTGGAAGCACACTAGCCCAGTTTATCTGTCTTCAGCTCTGCACAGAATGCTAATATCCAGTCTGCTGTAGCCTCTGAATGCCTGGCCAGACATTTTGGAGTGGTTTCAGTTTTGGCAGGTGCAAACAAAATGGCATCCATTGCTCTTTTAGAGTTTCAAGAGTGAGAGAGAGCAGCTAATTCCAAAACGCTAGCCCAAAACTCGCCACCCCTGCCCACTTCACCCCTTCAGTCTCCATCTTCCACATCAGAGAGGGGTAGAAGCTAGTTCTGTTTATTCAGTTAGGCCTACATGTACCTAAACATATGTTTTGAAGGATTTGTACATCACTGAGTATTGCTAATACTTGCTAAATACTAATGCTAATACTTTTACTTCGACTAAGCATATGTAAGGAAAGTCATATACTTCTGACTCATTACGTTACATTATATTAACACTTAGTTTCTCATTTTTCAAGGTTTAATTCCTTCTGTTCTTTTGGTTCAGCTCCTGGACTGCATTTCCGTTACTCAGGCCTTTCACTCTGGAGCTTAGCATTAGCATTTTAGCCCAATGGGAGAAGAATAGAACCTAGCAAACTTCAGAAGTTCCACTGCAGTTCGAAAGGGAGGAGTTTTTGGACCTGATATTAGTTTTTTTACTGATTTTTTGCTAGGCTATACTTCTGCTTCAGTTATTATTTGATTCACATAGCAGTACTTTTACTCGTGTATGCTTTTTTTTTTTTGATTCTCTGCCGCTTAAATTATCCAGTGAGTACAGACATGTCTCTTTCTGACGTCTGTAAAGTTCAGCCGTTCAACATTAAACTTAATATATTTTCTCATGCCAGTTTTCATGCGCCAAATCGAAGAGAGGCTGCTTTGAACCTCTCTTAATTCCACACTTGGCATTAAAACTGGGTCACAGCCTCTCTGAAACTCATGCCTGAAACTTGAAAATGTTTCAAATCAATGCAATTCTATCTGCATGTTTAATGACGCAGGACTACTTCTCGGGCTGATCAACTTGCACTAGACATGATATCAGTCATGCATACCTTTTTCTGGTGAAATAAGCGAATTAGTGAGCTATAAAAGACAAGGAGTCTTATAGTCATGCAGAGCTACACAGCTGCAAATAGTACTTTCATATATTTCTTGAGAAAGAACTAGGAGTTTTTTCATGGCTTAAGTTAAAAAAAAGGATATGATGTGCATTTTTGTATCTGCAAGAATCTATGCAATTTGTTGATATTTATTTTATAGCTTTTATAATGGTATAAATTCATTTTTAAACAGGGTAATCTTACCACTTAGAAAATGTCAGGTGGTGCAACCACTTATTAAAAACAATATCATATTTTAAAGTTGTTTACAACTATTGGAAATGTGTAGAAACTAGTCTTTGTACTTGGACTCTCATTTAAACCTTTGTCTTTGCACTCAAAGTTACATTTATATATCTATATATATTTATATAACCTTTTTATTTCAAGTAATTGATTACTGTTATAATGCTAATACGTTTTCATGGTTTCCTGGGGTTGCACCATTTGACATCAGCCTAACCATGACTCAAAAATGATATTTTTTTCAATATTTATGAAGGAGCTTCTGACTCTGGCACTGCACCATGAAGGTCACTTGAGATCTTCTTTATGACGTGACTCCCTGCCAACTCTTTCTTAAAAGCATGGCAGAATAAAAGTCCTCTCTTATCACTTGTGCTGTGAGATGTTTGAGGAAATCAGAATTTACAGGCAAAAGTTTTGTAATGATACTTTCCCTACTTTGCGACAGGTTATGATTTTAAATGTTTTGAACACAACATTTAGATATTTTTTTATTTTGAATTACCCTTCCAAACCAGTGTGGTTGAATGGTCACACCACTTGACATATTTAGACTTTGGGGGGCAAATATGCCTAATATGTGTTTTATTTGGATGCACCAAAAATGTGTTCACAATGTGTTTATTAAATTATTCAATAGATAAATAATGGACAGAAAAATATATGATGTCATTGACCCAAATTCAGATCATAAAAAAAACATCAAGAGGTTGCACTTCACATTGTGTAGAGACAAATGCAGACAAAACAAATCAGTTGAAATTATTATATGACCATCACTGACCAATGTTTTTAGTGTAGCTCCTGCTGTTTCACCTAAATCAACTTTAAGAAGTTCCTTTCTTTGGCCTTTGTGAATTTCAAAAAAATACTATGATGACATAATAAACAAAGAGTCTGTTTGTGATTCTGGATGTTTTCCTACCCCCCACATCTTTTCTTTTTAGTCTAATTGAGCTTATCTTGTTGATGTCCAGCATGTTTAATTTCAGCATATTTGATTATACGGAGATTTTGATAGAACCCTGCAGAGGAACCCCTCTATTCAAATGATTAAAATTGTCTTCAATTCCTTTAAGCACATTCTGAGGGCTGCTGTCCAAAATGTAACATTTGCCACAGAAGTTAAGACTGTAGTGTCCAGTAGTTGTTTCTTATGTCATTTTTTTTCTTTTTTCTTTTTAATTTGCATGCTCACATATGTTGCAGACTTACTCTTACCTGAATTGGTTTTGATGTATGCATCCTATGTCATGTATTTTTAGGAAAAAGGAAAAAATAAACCTGCTTGGTAAGTTTTGGGTGCCTTTGTGCTGAATGTGTTTGTATTTAAACTAGAAATAGTGTGAAAATTTGGTAACATTAAATAACACATCTTACATAAACACATCATAACATGTTAATGAATCTTTAAATCAACATTTACAAAGTATACATGTTTTATATGACATTAATATGGACTATCATATCATGTACCCGAGAAACATTTT